CTTAACCAAAACTATGGACTGGCCATCATGTTGTCCTGGACAGTGGAGTCGCTTAGGTGCTCGTGCGTAGAGAATTTGTCCAAGTGGGATGTGTGGATAGGCAGAAGGCAGCACCAGAAGGCATCAAATACTAAATATCTATATAGATTATAGTTAGAGTATAGTAAATGAATTGAATGATGTTATTTGTATTGGTCACGCAAGTTCAACTTACGACTATCATTATCATTATCACCAAACTTACGGCTCACAAATTTAGGCATTAGACTCGCATTCGTTGTTCCTCCAAACACATCAATTGAACGTGTATTTCCTCCAATAATCGACAAATATCGATCTCAAAATAATGATAATGTGTTTATATAAATGGTCAAAACGTTGTCACGTTTTTTATTGGCCATCGATAGATGACCTTGTCAAAAATCTAAATAAATATTTGAGTACTTAATTGGATTTAAAATATCTGAGCTAGAATCTTGGAAATTGGCAGAGGTCTTTAATGAGAATTAAGTAAAAATTTTGAAATCATCTAAAATGTAGAAATCAATTTAAGTGTGAATATAAATCAAAGATCTGAATATAAATCAATGACCAGAGTGCTTTGCGCTCCAATAATCAGATAAATAAGGAATGATTATTCATAGTACTAAAGATTTATACATACTGATCTTTCCGATTTAACACTCCCCTGATAGGCATTTATTTAGATGATTTTTGATAAATCACATTACATATCAAATTTCTACTCTTTGGCTATTGAAATTATAATAGGGCTTCAAAAGTACCGAAAAATACATTGTACGATTTGTTGTGCTCTTGGGCGAAGGTCTTACGCCACGAGGCTATTTTATAAATTTAAAGCTTCTACGAATAGGCCGAAGAGAAGACAGTCATGGCTGTCATCTTCACCAAGAGTATATATACTTAATGGGGTCTGGCATGCCTCTTTCTACCTCTTACATACGCCTTCACAAAAGACTATACTCTGATTTCTTATTTTGAATGATTTCAAGATTCAAAGGGAATCTACTCAGTTCACTATAATAATTGTATATAAACTATCCGATCACAGCAATAAATGGAATTGGAAGATCTTCATTAAAATTGTACATTATTTAAACTTCGGTCTCTTCAAGATCTCTATGAGGTTCCTCATATTTTTTATATAAATCTTCTGCATTCCGCTCCACTGTCCTCGTATTGTACGGCCTAAGCTGCACTTGTCCCATTGCTGCCACTCATTACATTATTTTCGTGTGTTTATTGTTTCTTTGCGCTGCGGCAGTTGCCGCCAAACTGGCCACGGGCCACGCAGCCGCCGCAGTCGCAGTCGCAGTCGCAGCAGCAACTAACTGGCGCCCTATTGTTCCAGCCTGGTTCTGACCCTGCCTCAGAGATGGTGAGTGAGTGAGAAAGAGAGAGAGAGAGAGAGAGAGCGAGAGGCCCCTCTGCTGTGGCAACGTTGCGCTGCAGTTGAGTTTATTATGCAGCAACGCACCCCCAATGCGGATCGGGTTGCCGCTGCCTCCTGCTAGCCTTGCCTTGCCTTGGTTTGGCTTGGCTGGGCTCCTCGTTGCCGCAGACAGCGCCTGACAATGAGTTTTTAGTTTGTGTTCAGTTCGCCGCTGCTTATCTGGCTCTGGCTCTGGCTCTGGCTCCAATGTTTGCTGTCATTGCAAATTTTCGAGTTTGACAGCTAACAAGCAGAGCCCAAGACGCCGATGGAGAAGGAGCGCCGCTGACTGCTTCCAGCGTGGACTCTGACGCACAGCGTCTTCACGTAAGTGGCGCTACGCAGCAGCTAGCCCCGCCGCCCCTCCCCCTCGTTGCCGCCAGGCGGTTATTAGCTGGCCAATGCTTAAGCTCTCCATACTCCATACTCCATACTCCATACTCCATGGTCTGCAGTGTGGTCTCAGCGATGTCCATCCAAACAATGCATTGAAAACTTTTGACAAGCGAATTGGGCGCTGGGCGGCATTAGAGCTGATTAGCCTGGTTCGCTGTCTCGGCCTTGGCGTGGTATTAGTGTATCGCTCTCGTGTACAGAACTGTAAGATACACGTAATTAATGTGGACTTAATAGTTCGGCCATTCGATAGCCAAAGATATGGCTGCAAGAGCTGTCAAGGCTCTCGCACTCAGCTGGAACTCGGAGCGCTTGGCGTTGAGGGGCATCTTCTAATTTGAAACTGTGAAGGTAATGGTGAGGGATAAGTGTCTGAAAAGCGACAGATGTGTGTGTAAAGAGAAGACTGACATGCGTAAAAAGAAAATACCAAGAGCAGAATGAAATGGGGAACAAAGAAAGAGATAATGAGCTAAGGGAAAGAGCAAATGAGTGAAAAATGTTTCAACGTATTTCGCTGTTCCTGGCTTTAGATTAAAACTAGATCGTTGCCTTGCTTTGTCTTTATGGAAAATCATGTTATAATGCTGAATGCTGAATATCTTCTCGTGGGTCTGCTTTCATATTTTTGAAAATGCATCAACATTTTGCTCAATTCTTGCAGATCTCAGTGCCAATTCAGTCTCAAAGTTAGAATGAAACTGAATCTTTTCAAGAGTGACTTGATTTGCCAGCTCAAGAGGAGATTCCCTGAATAATTTATTATAATTATTGTTTAAACAATATATAGACAAATGCAAATCCTGTTAATTATATGATAGCAGAACAAAATCGTATGCAATTTATATATAATATTATAACTGTTTTATTTATTTATAAATTTTATATTTTTAAGAAATATTTTTAATTTTTTTATTTAACCATTATAAATATGAGAGATTAATGATAACATTTAGTCGACTTGACAACTTCCATTTCCTTCCGTGCAAAATGTAAAAACTTTTGCTCAACTAAAAACTCAGCTAAAGTTGTGTTGGCTCTATTAAAAGTGCCTCAACTAAAAACTTGAATATGTTTTTACTTTGCTTTTAACCCTTGCACTATGGGTAAAAAGTCGATTTTTTTGGCATTAATTGTAAATGAAGAGCTAGGAACTTGAAATTTTAGGAATATATTATTAATATTAAAAAAGAAATTCGGATTTTTTTTTTT